AAGAGTAAGAGAACTGAGTTACTTGAACGAGTGACGGTTGATGAAGTTCTGGAAATCCGGTGCAGTCGGCTTGTCAGAACAGGCGGTAGGCAGAAAAGGTCCGAAATGTCAGAGCAAGTTCAGGGGTCCGAATGTTCTCGCAAAGTTCTCAAATGTGAAAATGACCGAAGTCAGCACTTCCTTATATAGGCAAAGTGAGAAGGCGAAGGGTCGCTTCCAAATTCAAAATTTGGGCGGGAAAATCTCTCGGCCATTTGCAAGGTGACACCTGTAGCAGGCCGTCGCCTGTCACCGTGCGACACCTGTCACAGGCGACACGTGACCAGTCACGTGCCACCTGTGAGGGGCAAATGATTAGGGGATTTTTATCCACCAATCACCGTTTGACAAGTGGACCAACCAGGTTCCGCCACGTGTCCTTCACGTAGGCCAATAGGAGCCTGCCACGTGTCAATCACAGATACGTCCTCTACGGACCAATTGAGACACGCCACGTGTCCACCCATGCCAAATGGGAAAACCGGCCAACAAGGCCCAATCCTGTCTAGAGGCCCGGTCAGCCCTAGGTTTACCCTAAACCTAGAGAGTGGCACGCTTCTCAAGACTATAAATACTTAATTAATCCTCATTAAAGAAAAGAAGCAATTAATCTCACCTGAAGAACGGAACAGAACAGAAACGTTACGGAAGACACTAATAACCGGCTGATCTCGCTAACAAAGCAGATTACCAACATTAAACACTCTCACCTAGAGAGACCTTATTACTTTAATTTCCGTATTAATTACTCCTTAATCAGGTACTAACTTGACCGTTGGAGGCGGAGCTCTCAGGAGTCTCCGTTATTTTGCAGGTACAGGCGTCCGGTTCCAGTCTCGGAATTGTAACTCTCCCGCAGGACATCAGAAAACCCCGAAACACTAAGTATAATTGAAATTGCATGTTTTCTGTTATTAATTCAACCCCAATTTCATATTGTAAATAATTAGGGTTCATGTAAGTGTAAATTAATTTGGGGGTTTTTGATATTTCAATTAGGCAGTAAAATTAGGGTTAGATTATGGTAATTGTGTTCAAATACAATTAACTTCAATGAAAATTTGGCAGTAGAAATGGTCACACTACCTCCGAATTACGAGAACAATTTTTTTCCAGAAGTCGAATCTATTCTTCGTCGCCGTTTGTTTTCTGAAACCTCTGTCATATAACAATCAGGTTCAGGAAACAGAAATTGAAGCAGCTCAGGTACGAGTAATTGTTGTTGCTCATCCACGGATTCGGTATTTATAAGATCAAACACGTTTTTGTTTGCAATCCTTAAGCCATTAAGGATACAAATCAGACCAAAAACCAAGCTATAAGCAAATTATAAGATGAACTTTGGCTCATTTACTACCCAAATTAAGGATTTGTAAAGAAAATGGCAAAAAAAAAACTTCAATCTTCAACAATTTGATGTGGAAATGAAGAAGGTTGTTTAAATAGGAGGAAAATCGAGAGAATTTGAGGATAATTTCAAAAACTAGCTGTTATGGCGGGCCCCACTGGTGCGTCACCAGAGTTAGGCTTAGGTGGGAAAACTGATGTTTAATTTTTTTATGAGGTGGTAAAGTAAATCTTTTTTTTTTTGGAGGTGGTAAATTCAATAAAGTCGTTATTTGTAGGTGGTAAAAATCAAAATTTCCTTTAATTTATTTTGAATTTTTGCATTTGGTTTATTTTCTAATTCTTGAAAATTACAAATTTACAATTTCTGAATTGGGTGGAGAACTGGAGATGGTGACTTGGTCAACAAAAGTCCGATTATGAGAAGAAAATAAATTATTATATGCTTTCTTCTTCAGCTAGTTTGTTTTCCATTACCAAATAATCACGAATGGCAAGTTTATCAATCGCAATACCTCTTTTTTTTACCATATCAATTACAATACTTTGGTAGTGTTCTTGAATGCTAAGTGTATTTGTATAACTTGTTGAACCAAAGAGGTTTAACTTTATGTTTTAATTTTGTAATTGTAGTTGTAGGTGTTACTAAAAAAGTTGTAGGTGTTACCAAAAAAGTTGTAGATGTAAAGTTCTATACTATTAATGTTACGGAGTATGCTATTAAAATCTTGAATTGTAGTTGTAGGTGTTACCAAAAAAGTTGTAGGTGTTACCAAAAAAGTTGTAGATGTAAAGTTCTATACTATTAATGTTACGGAGTATGCTATTAAAATCTTGAATTGTATTGTTGTAATTCAAATTTTAAAATTTCAGCAATTTCAATTTGTAGCGGGAAAAAAAAATTAAACTTTTAAAATTCAAATAAATATTACACTGAATATTTTTTTAATTTTTTTTTTTAAAATAAAGGGATCAAACAGACCAGTTATTTACTATAGCAGGTCTATTTCAATCCCCATTAAAGAGATCCCTATCACAAGTAATGGGTCTTTTTTCCTTCTCACTTAACTATTATACACCATGTCTAACAGACTGCCTAACTCTAATAACTGGTTTGTTTGTTTTTTAAAACAGACTCCTCTTCATGAGGGATCTCTTTATTAAACACACCCCTGAGATAGAGACCCGTTCAAAACGGGTCTCTAAAGCTAATTTGTACGGGTCTGTTAGCCTATTTTTGTTGTAGTGAGATACAAAGACCAAGATTCCTAATTTAGTGAAAACAATCTCGGGACTCAAATGCATCAATTATTGACTTCAACCTGAAAATAAGTAACACTGCTTACCATTACGGTAAACAGGGCGAACTAAAACAAAATAAGAAGTATGGGTTAGCAAAATATGCTAAGTAAGATAAGTGCAAGATAACTCAATTTATTCGCAAACATGCTTGAAAACCAATTCCAATAATTCAAAACTCATGATTCAAAACCAATTTTCAATATTCCAATCTCAATAATCAATAAAACTAATTCCAATTATTTTAAAACCAATTTCTCATATTAAAAACCAATTCCTCATAATAAACCAATTAAACCAATTCCTCTCCCAAATGTGCACACCCCCAAGCTAGTCTCCTTATGTTACAAGGCTATTCTTAAGGAAAGACCCGGTCATGCAAAGTCTAAGGCCTTATCAATATACCAAATTCGCATAGTGGGATTACCAACATAATAATAAATCAATGATTTAATAAAGTCTCTTTTAAATCCAATAATTCAACCTTTAATAATAATAATTCAAACCCCCCCTTTTTTTTTATAAATCCAACATGTTTTCAAAATCAATCATTTTTAAACATGATTAATAAATTAATTAATCAAAACATGTTATAAAAATCAATACTCCAATTTAATTATGAAAACCAATCTTTTAAACAGACTTTTATTTAATAAACCATAATTCGAGTCAATTTAATTCAAGCAACATAAATCATTCAAACATGTTCATTCAAATCGATCACTTTCAAGGTATCTAGCCACCTAACGTGCCTTGATCCTCGCTTAGCCAAAAACACTTCTTAAGAACTCTCAAGTAGCTTGATCAAAAAACACCCTACAAGTAAATATAACCTTAATTAATATAAGGTTAACAAATAATCACAAATAATTAAATTAAACCCTCCCAACTATATGTACATGAACCTTTTAAATTAATTCAACATAAACAATATTAAAATCTGTTTTTAAAACTACTCATAATAATTTTTATATAAATCTCCCATAATAATAATAATAATTGAATAAGAGAAAAAGGAGAAGAAAGATATGAAACCAAGGAGGAGAGGAAGGAGGGGATGCGGCAAGAGTAGCAGCACGACGACAGGTGGCTGTTGCCGGTGGTGGTTGATGGCGGCAGGTGGCGCCGGTGGAGGGAGGTGGTGGTGGTTGGTGCAAGAAAAGAGGAAAAAGAACAAGGAAATAATTAGAGGTTTTGAGAGAGAATTATGAGAATTTTGTGTGAGGTTTGATCATTAATTAAAGGGGTATTTATAGGCTAGCATGTGTATGAATTATGGTAGGAAAATGTAGGAAGAATTATGGTAAGTAGGGTTTAAGGGATTACTTGGAGAAGTAAGTAAAGATTTAAGGAAAGTTTTGACATTATAGAGATTGTGTATAATTGAATATGGAAGGTATGTATGTCATGAAAAATATTAAGGAAATTGAAATTACTTGAGGAATAATTAAGAAGAATGAATGGCAAGAAAATATGATGATTGGATATTAAAAATATGGAGAATTAGAATTAAGGAAAATAGGAGATTTTGGGAGATAATTAAAAATATAATTTTAGGAATTAAATTCCCCCCAAAATATTTCATGAGGGCCGAAAATATGGAGCTTACCATAGCTCTAATTTTCGGATTTCTCTAGATATATTTAGGAATATTTTGCTCGGTGTTTAAGGAATAAAATAATTATATAGAATAATATAGAATAATATAGAATAATAATTAAATAAATAATTAATTAAATACCAATTATTTTCCAATAAATAACCAAGAAAAATCAGATTTTCCATACATGGAAAATAAAAAAATCCTAGCTAGTTATTAGGTAATTTCGGCTATAATAATTAATTAATTAATTAAAGTATTATTTTGCTTTGATTAAAATATCCGAACTATGTAAATAATCCGGTTTTTAAAATAGGAAAAATGGATAATAATCTTATCCAGAATAATTATTAATTTTCAAATACCTTTGGCGCCATATTTCAAATAATATTTTGGCTCCAAATAATAAATTTACTAAAATACCCTTTTTATAAAATAATTCCTAATTAATTAATTACGAAAATAGGTATGAAAGTACGGGGTATTACAGTCTACCCCCCCTTAAAATAAGTTTCTACCCGAAACTTAGCCAAAAGTAATGTAAAATTATTTTGAAATTATTGGTTCATGCACATCCTAACTTGACTCAAGACTCCAACTAAACTCAAATAAGACTCGAAATCACTCAAAAATGACTCGAAAAGTAGACGCGCGAAACACTATCGCCTCTACCCCCCTTAAAAGGAGTTACGCCCCCGTAACTCGACCACTAACCTTAGGCAAACATCTCTAGGTAGGGTTTCCTCATATCATCCTCAGCTTCCCATGTAGCCTCTTTAGTTTTCTGATTTGACCACAACACTTTCACAATGCTCACATCCTTGTTCCTTGTGCTCCTTACCTTATAGTCGGGAATCTTTATTGGTCTTTCTTCATAAGTCAAATTCTCATCCATCTCAATAGTTTCTGGTTGTAACACATGTGTTACGTCCGAAATGTACTTTCGGATTTGGCTTACATGGAACACATTGTGAACCCTATCAAACTCGTTAGGCAAATCCAACTTATAAGCCACGTTCCCTACTTTTTGAATGATCTCATAAGGCCCTATGTACTTTGAGCTTAATTTCCCTTTCTTCCCAAACCTCATCACACCTTTCATGGGTGAAATTTTCAACAATACTTTCTCTCCTACTTCATATTCCTTTTCCCTCCTTTTTAAATCAACATAACTCTTCTATCGATCTTGGGTTATTTTAATCTTTTCTTGCATCAACTTAACCTGCTTCACCATATCCTCAATCATCTCTAGTCCAAGAACCATAGTCTCACTTATATCATTCCAACACAATGGGCTTCTACACTTCCGACCATACAATGCTTCAAACGGTGCCATTCCAATGCTTGCATGGTAACTGTTGTGGTAAGAGAACTCTATCAAATCCAGGTGGTCTTCCCAAGACCCTTGATACTCCATCACACAAGCTCTCAAAATGTCCTCCAATGTTTGAATCGTTCTTTCTGTTTGACCATCTGTCGCTGGGTGAAACGTTGTGCTCATTAACAACTTAGTTCCCGTCCCCTTTTGCAAACTTTGCCAAAAGTTAGACAAAAATCTTGAATCTTTATCCGAAATGATATCTGTGGGTACCCCATGGTACTTTACCACAAACTTCACATATGCTCTTCCCAACTGATCCATGGTCCAGGTACTTCTCATGGGTATAAACGTTGTTGACTTCGTTAACTTGTCCACTATTACCTAAATAGTGTCATTCCCTGCCTTGGTTTATGGCAAGGCTCCCACAAAATCCATAGAAATCGAATCTTATTTCCACTTGGGTACCTCCAAGGATTTGACCTTTCCTGGAGTTCTGCGATGCTGAATCTTCAACTTTTGACATTTCAAACACTTAGCAACAAATTCAGCCACTTCTCTCTTCATATTGGGCCACCAAAAAGTCTATTTCATGTCCTTATAAAACTTATCCCCTCAAGGATGCATTGGATAAGGAGAATTATGGGCTTCTTCCATCAATCTTTGTTTCAGATCACCACAATTTGTGGTACACACCATATTCCCTTAAAATGAATACTCCCCTCATCACCAATGTTGAAATCCAGCACTTCTCCTTCATTAATCTTCTTCTCTATTGCTTTTAAATTCTCATCTTCCAATTGACTTTCCCTTATCTCATCATAAATGGATGGTTGAACCACCAAGGAATTCAACATCCTAGCCACTCCACCATGCCCCACTACCTCCAAGTTCAACATCTGAAATTCCACACACAACTGATCTGGTACTACCATCACATTCACCGTAAATTCCGACTTTCTGCTCAAAGCATCTGCCACCACATTAGCCTTTCCCTCATGATACTGAATATCCAATGTATAATCACTCATATACTCCAACCTGTCTCTGCCTCCCATTCAAGTGCATCTGGGTGAAAATGTACTTTAAACTCTTATGATCCGTGAAAATCCTACAAGTTACCCTATACAAGTAATGTCTGCAAATCTTCAAGGCAAACACTATTGCAGCTAACTCCAAATCATGGGTTGGGTAATTCCCTTCGTGAACCTTCAACTTCCTCGAGGGAAACGCAATCACTCTTCTATTTTGCATCAACACACATCCTAATCCTCACTTCGATGCATCACTATACACGTCATATAGATCACTTCCATCTGGAAAAGCCAGCACAGGTGCTTTGGTTAACTTTTCTTTCAAGATCTTAAATGCCTCCTCACACTCTGGGGTCCATGAGAAATTATGCTCCTATTTTCATCAAACTTATCATAGGCTTCGCGATCCTCAAAAAATCCTTCACAAACCTTCTATAATAGCCAGCTAAACACAAGAAACTATTATTTTCGCCATAATAAATAATTAATTAAAGTATTATTTTGCTTTGATTAAAATATCCGAAATATGTAAATAATGCGGTTTTTAAAATAGGATAAATGGATAATAAATCTTATCCAAAATAATGATTAGTTTTCAAAATACTTTTGGCGCCAAAATTCAAATATTATTTGGCTCCAAATAATAAATTTACTAAAATACCCTTTTTATAAAATAATTCCTAATTAATTAATTAGGAAAATACATATGAAAATACAAGATATTACATCTCAATGGTTTCTTGAAGGAACCGGAAAAGAAAGAAGTTTGAGGCTACTCGACATCTCGATTATGGCATACCGCTCTATAAGCTTGACTCACATCTCTTTCCACCAACTTGTGACTCAACCAAAAAAGTCAAAAGGTGTTGAAAAGGGTTGTAATGTAAGGGTGAAGGTAGGCTAAAATTTGAAGTTTGGTGATATACCTAAATTGTGAAGCAATGATTGGCCAAATCATAACACCAAAACAAAGTAATCACAAAAAAAACAAAAAAAAACAAAAAAAAACCAACACCCCAAGCTTGTTCATAGCTAAAATCACAAACATATATACGAAAAGCGTAAGAATGCTTCTCCCAAGCTTGAACAAAGCATTGTCCTCAATAGTTAAAATAGGGAGAAAGACACATCAAAATATTTTTGAATTTTTCATTTTTCACTTTTTTCAATTTTGCCAAAGCTTTTGAATTTTCTTTGTTTTTCCTCATTTTTTTCAACTTTTTTTCATTTTTCACATTATTTCATTGTCCTCGCCTCTTTTAAATATGGACGGCTTTTTTAACTTTACATTTGCTTTTTATTCACAAAATATTTACAACACAAACTTGATTTCAATAAATGAACCAAACAATAATTCTCATTCACCAAAACTCCAACAAGAGAGACTAAATGCTTCACACAAACCAATAATGGAAACAAGAATGAAACAAAAGGCTCAAAATCTATAGATATAGCTTGAAGAGAAGTTTATGGCTCAAATGGTTAGCAAGTAGGCAAATGAAAACCCAAAATAAAGAGATAAAAAACTATCTTAGAAAAAGAAAATCACCACCCCGAAAAGATGTCTTTGTCCTTCCTAAATGGCTCGGTTACGATCTTGGGAGACAAGAGTCAAATTCTAGATAAAGCATGCAATAGTCAAGGATCTATAAGCCGCTCAATCAAGAAATGTTGAAAGCAAGAAGAAAAAAAACCTCAGATAGTTGCAGCAGAAACTCACTATTAGTTTCAAATTCACCAAAAGGGAGCAATTTTAAAATTTTACAAACAATTAGAATCCGGGTTCAAGGTCCCAAAAGTTCTAAAGACACTACCTTAGCATACTCTATCCTAGAATCAACCAAAGATACTCTTTAACCGTGTACATCGATACCATTTAAGAAGAGAAGCATTCAACTATACAAGTCCAAAAGTATTATGTCCAAAGCAAGAAATAAACAAAGACACATTGCAAATTTTCCTTAACAGAAACAAAAATCATTTTGTAGTTTTTTCAAAATAAAGAACAAGGAAATGCATATACAATGGTGCATGACATATATGAATCAACATCCCACCAAACATGATAGAATATCCTCTCCCAAGATTGAGGAGACAACACGCTCAAACATAAATCAAAGAATCTATGGGAGGGAAATAAAGAAATAAATCAATCCAACAAACCAACACATGTCTAACAAGTCACTAACCATTAGAGAAAAAGCAAGGAAAAATATTACCGGATGTTGGTAAATATCCACAAATGACCCAATTAAACCTTTCAAAGTCATTTTCCTTTATAATTGAATTTTTTTTCCCATGTGCTAGCAATTGTGGTGCCAAACCTCCTTGATTCTTGATCCAAACTAATGCACCAAAATATATCAAGTCATGTACCTAGCAAAAGGAACATAAACATTTCCATGAGAGAAAATCTATTCTAAAAAGAAAAGAAAATAAAAGCAATAAAACACGGGTTACTTCCCGAGAAAGGCTTGCTTAAGGTCCAAGCTTGACCGCTTTAGAAAATAATATTGCAACGAACGCAAGAGCTTGTCAAATGCACTACTACACACATTTCATATGAAAGTAAGTATGCACATGACAAAATGAAGGCATGCGACAAGCATATTGCACACATATGGAGTTGAGAAGAGGTATGCCAAGAAGGGGAAAAAGAGAATGGAAAAACAAAAATGTAAGAAAAAGGAAGAGAAATAAAAGAAAAAGAAGAAGGCATTCTCTTCTTAACAAAGTATTTTTGGTTGGAAATCTTACAATTATCCTCAAAAGTCTTCAAATGAGGCACTTGGGGGGACTAAAGGCTCTTCAAGAAGAGGGGATATGAGAAAATAAGGTAATGACATGGGATAAGAGGGAATAAGATCAAGCTTTCTTGAAAATGAGGTGTAAGGTGAAGGAATAGGAATTGATTGCTCAATTACACCACTATTCATTGAAACACAAGCTCTCTCATCCAATGAACCACATCCAAATGGCTTTCCTCCAACTCATCATCATTCAAATTTAACTCATTCTCAAACACATTCTCCAGGTAAACTTCACACCCTAAATGAGCTCTCAAGCATCAAATCATCATCAAGGTTCAAAGAAAGCTCATCAAAGGGTTGAGGGTCGAACTTGGGAGGTAGCTCTAGATAAACATAAGAAGTATAATCTCCCTCTAGAAAGGCCTCTTCGTCTCAATGGTGCAAAATGTAGAAGAGAAAGGATTATCGAAGGTGAAAGAGGAAGACAATGGTTAAAGATTTGAGATAGGAGTTGGAGACTCAACCTCACTAAATACTTCACTCTCATCTTCATATTCATCGAAAGTAAGCTATACCTCCTCAACCCTCTCATATTGATCCTCATCTACATCAAAATCATTTAATCTCAAGGCCTCACCCTCAAAGCAACCATGGTTATCATGGAAAGTAGATGGGGTAGAAAAAGATTGGTTTTCAAAATAAAGAAATGGGGGAATGAAATCACCATCAAGGGAGGTGGGTGAGGGAATCGACTCTGTAGACACCCAAATGTGTCTCCCCAACACCAAACCCAGTGATGAGTGCCTTTCACGTCGAATTATAATCGAATGAAGCGAAAGTGTGGAAAGTTTAGTGTTGCGGATAGTTTTAATTTCTTTTCTCTTCTCTCTGTTTTTGAAAACTTATTTTAAGAAAACAGCCAATCCAGTTTGGTTGGTCCATGATATGGGTCCAATAGTAGTGTAGTTGGATGGGTCTTGTAAAGACCTTTTCAACGATA